TTGTTTGATGGGTCTGGGGTCACAGGAACCTTTGACAGCAACCATAGACGACTGCATAAAGTGCAGGCTCCGTTACGCTCCAACATGCTTTAATTAAACAAATCCCAGTGACGGATCATTCAGCGTGTCTCTTTTTTCACTGCCACACTAACACACGGTGTGGATTTCCTCCTGTACAGGCCAGCAGATAACAGATTTGACGGTGGTTCGTGGTAAACAGGACCTGAAGATCCAGGGCCCACGTCTCAACCAGACCAAAGAGGACAAGATGTTGGTTCGACATGGTCCTGATCGACGTCTCGAGCCCATCATAACACCGCCCATGCCCCTGATGGAGGTACCACACACTATAGAGGCACTCAGACATTCCCATCCTGCAGTTTTAATGGAGTCTGGCAAATCTAAAGACTAAGGATGTTCCAGTTAGCTTTATATCACTCCCAAGCCGAATCTTTAATGTTGAGTATATACTGACACTGTCCCTAAATGCAATTTACAAATGCCATTTGCTTACTTAATACAAATGTCCAATGCATACTTTGAGTACTTTACAGTAAGGAATGCCATTTTACTTTCAGGATGTCTGGCCACCGATTAGCTCTACGCTACGAAAATGAGCCATGCATCCCGGCTGTTCTTTAGTAGTGTTGTTCATAGACACAGGAGCTCACAGGCAGTCAGCAGGAGGATGGCTAAGAGATGCTTCACAGCAAAAGGCAAAGCAGTAGAAATCTAATACAGATAATAAATAAATGCATAGTCATAATGAGCAGTAGTAGAAACAAAAAAAAAAATATATTAATAAATAAATGCAAACTAGACGGGGACAAGTCTAAACAGGTGAGTCTCAGCCTGTCCACAGGTGTCCACAGGTGTCCACAGGTGTCCACAGATGCAGCAACAGAGTTCTAACATTTACAGTAGGAGCCACAGAGGTCTCATTTAAATTTTAGTTCAATTTAAATTTGACGGAGAAAGTTAGACATTACTAAATTAAGACATTTTATTTGAAAAGCGAGATTTGGTTATTCCCACTGTGTAATATTTTTGTGACACTAAGACAGATGCAAAAATGTTGCCTGTTTATCTGTGTGTGTGTCTGTGCACGCACACAGGTCTTCTTCCTGCAGTTTCCCACTGCTCTTCTGTGTGGTGAGATCAGGAAGGCCTACGTTGAATTCTGTAACGTCAGCGGTGTTGCTTTGTGTGGCCTGCGAGTTGCATCCACACACCCTGAGTTCTTCACTTTTGGCAGCCAGGCCACAACCCCTGTTACTCCCCTCAGTCCAACCTCAGCTGAAAACTGCTCAGCCTATAAAACCTTGGCCACGCCCCCACATCTGGGCTCAGTGGCATCTGAGATGTTGGTTTCAGCTGAGGATTTTAGTCAGCCATCCAGTGTGATGGAGATCCCAATAGATGGCAGCACACTACAGCCGGGGGAGTCCACCCAGCTTCCTCTGTGGCTCAGAGGGCCAGACCAGGAAGGAGTCCATGAAATAAATTTCCTCTTCTACTATGAGAGCACAGAGAAAGGAATCAAAATCAGGTAAGAATATAAGTGGAAGTGGCTTAAAGGCACACGTAATAAGATTGATAGGTACAAACCCCTATTTTTATTTCACGAATGATCTACAGCAAAATGTCTATAAACATTGGGTTGTAATAAAGGTAATGAACTCTAAAGACATAAACATATACCCTGTGTCCAACGTTCCTCTTTACTGAATGTACTAAATTTTGAATAGAATTGTGGTAGCGTTGTTCATTATTTCAGCTGTCACCGCTTTGGTGCACTCTGCAGCTCAGTTGGCTTATCATATGTAGATAACCCATCTCTTACTCTTTATCCTCTCTTTTCATGTTAAGTCATCGGGTGTTGCGTCACACGGTGTTTATCTGCGCCAGTCGGTCGCTGAGTGTGCAGGCGTCGGCCTGCCACAGCAGTGTCCTTCCACAAGATGGTCTTGATGACAAAGGCAGCAGCGGAACGCTCGTCTTTATTGACGTGGAGAACATCAATACGGTGAGATATACATGCTAACAGAATGTAGCTTTTTGCCTTTGTTTTTGAGTTGAACAACTTAACCACTGTTCAAACTTTCTTTTAATCTTCTTCCCTTTGGAAAAGAATGAAGTTGGTGTGCGTGAGTTCCACATCGTCCAGGTGTCCAGCAGCAGTCAGAACTGGCGCCTCAACAAGTTTATCAACCCAGCCAAGGATAAAGGTGTGCCTCATGTGCCAAGTCATCTGTGCTGCCTTTGTTCCTATGTCTGTCTGTTTGTCAACTCATTTTTTATTCTGTATTTACGTGTTGATGTAACAGCACCATTAGTGAACACAGCTAAGGTCTTAATTTAAACCCAGCCTTTTACAATACCTGAAAAAACAGCCAGATGAACAAATAAGCTGCAGTGTCTGAGCTGAATTTTCATCTTGTTTTCACAGTAATATTTGAGTATAGCAAACAAGAGGCATGAATTTTAGTATTTGCTAGATTGTTGAGGCTTTATACGTGTATGTCTGTCTCCATGTACTTACTAAATAGTGAAGAGAAAGACTTGGTTTTAGAGTTCAGGTTAGAATGAATTCTGAGACCCTGTGGGGAAGAGTGAGTAGACATTGGGGTTTTGAGGTACAGCGGGAAGTCTGAGTTTTCAAAAGGCCTTTAAGCAGATATTTCTCTTTACTCACTCTGAACACTGAGATCTCGATATTGAGGTGTTGTGAGTTAAAGAACACTGGGTATTGGTCACCAGTCTAAACACAGAATGAAATCACAGTCAGACACTACGAAGCAGGGATTTTCTATGTGTCCAGTGGTTAACAGAGAGGGTTCTGGGTTCAAACCTGGCAGCCGACCGGGGCCTTTCTGTGTGGAGTTTCTATGTCCTCCCATCTTCTTTCCTTCCAGTCCAGAGACGTGCAGGCTCAGTTAGCTAACACTAAAATGCCCATACCTGTTCATGTGAGCGCATATGGTTGGTCTCTGTAGACTGGAGGCTTGTTCGTGGTGTACACCACCTGTTGCTCAGTGTCAGTTGTAATTGGCTTCAGCAACTTCATGTAGGAAGTTATGTGGGACGCTGTACATCACATCCCATGGCTCATGTAGGTCAGAGTGTGATACATCAGTTACTGAGATGCTCTTTTAGGGTCATACATTTGGGGACTGGGTGGCAACGTGAATGGCCTCCCACTCTGGCCTCCCTAAATACACACCTGTGACCTGACTACGACTTCTTACCCTGCAATGTTACGCTTGGCCTGTTCAGTGGCAGTGGAAAAAGATGTGTTTTCGACTAGTCAGCTGCCATCTGTGAAATGTGACTGTGTGATTGTAAAACATTAGGTTTGCAGGTCTTATGCGTGTGAACTACAAATAAAACATGTGACTAAGATTGATTCTCTCATTACAGTGGCACCTGTCGGTATGTGGGGTGTATTAGGCAGCAACTGAACTTTTAATCCTCAAAGTCAATGTGTTGGAAGCAGGAAAAACAGGCAGCGTAAGGATCTGAGTGACTTTGAAAAGGGTCAAACTGTGATGGCTGATGACTGCGTCAGAGCGACTGCAGGTCTGGTTGGGTGTTCTTGGTCTGCAGTGGTTACCACCTACCATCAGTGTCTAAGGAAGGACAAACAGTGACCTGGAGACAGGGTCATGGACGCCCATGGCTAACTGATGATGAGGTTGATCTACTGTAGATTAAACTTTTAACTTCCATTTGCACTTTTCAAAAGATTAAAATTGGTTTTAATCTTCTTTAAAATGGTTGAAAATGAGAAACACTGTGTATTGGTCACTATGAAGAGAAGCATCCAGCAGCTGTAGTGGTGTTTACTTTTACACAAAAATGGCATTTGGGTTTATATAAAAGAGCTTAGATTTATGTTTTCCCCAAGACAAACCCTCTTGATGCCAGTATTCAGCTTAGTTCTGTCTGTCCTCTCCAGACTGTAAACTCACCAGTAGAGAAAGAGCCAAGCTGTGTTTCAGGGCCACGCGATGCAAGCCCCGCCAAGGTAAGTTGTACAGAAAAATCGAACCACATCAGTATGTTTTCATTGAATTTACAGTTTTGAATAAGTGACAATCTGCATCTGTTTCTAGCTACCTCAGATGCTGTAGAGAAATATACATTTGCAGACCTGAACCTGGGAAATGAACAGGTAAATTGAGAACAATTATTAGATTTTAAAAGTTGCCATTAGCTACAAAGTGCTGTTGTCAGTTTAGTTTGTCAAATGTCTGTTCTCATTTTGATACTTTCTAATATAATAGTTAAGTGCAGTATGTGAACTGTTCCTCAGTGATAAAATATGATGTCTGGTTGATACTTTCTCAAACGCAGTTAAGGTTACACTTAATCAGTCAGGAATTCCTTTGTTTCTCAGTTTCTCTGTAGATGTAGTGGATGTACTGCATAAAGCATTTAAACCTGGAACCTGGATTCAAGTTGTCACGTGATCCATGGTTGATATAAAATATTGACTATCCCACATTAAAGTTATACATAACACATAGTAACTGCTAAAGGAAAAAAAGACCACAGGGTTTTTACTTTTACTTTGACCCCATTATAGTAGGGATGTTTCTGCTGCTAATGAAAATAAGGAGACTATGTAAACAAATCCAGTGACTTTAAGGATGTGTTCAGTTTCAGCGGTGTGAAAAAACACTGCCCGCTAATTTCATTTCTATGGGGGACTGTGTTCACCAGCACTGCAGGGTGCTCTGGCAAAACAAAGCAATCCCATGCAGCAGAAAAGTTTGGCCTGGTTACGTCACCTGGCAAAGATGCCAAGTTGACCAGTCACATACAGGCGACAGTTGGAACATGGACACCCACAGGAAGGAGACTCTTTTGTTTACCTTCTTAGCATGACCATTCACTGCTGTTCACTGTCGAATTTGGGCCACAGTTAATGCACCTTAACCACACACCATGCATTTTTTTAGTATTGGTGTTAAACTGTGTTTGTTTTAATCTATCGCGCCGACACACCGACGGTAGAACTGGTGGTAGAATAGGCCACATCAGCAGCATGACTCCAAAATGCAATGGAAAGTCCAAAACTAGAAACAAGGATGAAGCCACTCGTGTTGACTCATCACAGCATAGCTGTATCATACACACCTGCTGCAGCCCCTTGCCCCATGACCAAGGCAGCCTCGTGCACAAAAGCACAGCAGCAAATTGCATCCTACTGGACTCCGTCTGAACGCCCACTAAGGTGCCAAACAACACATCAACACAGCATATGTTAACAGGACAACTAATGGCATACTGATGCGCTGACTGATGGGTTAGTTAGTGCAACTACATCTTTGAAGAACTGGTGTGATAAATCTGTGGCAGTGCACTGTGGATGGACCGCTCTAAGGGAAGATGATGAAAAATGTGACATAGATAGCATGGAAGCAGTGGTGGTAACAGCCACCCCACATTCTGCCTTTGGGCTACGTATTCTTTGTGTTTACCTTCTTCTGCTCTCTGCCCTCCTCTGCCGTCTCTTTGCAGATCATCAGTTCCACAACACCCTGTGGAGATTTCTTCTTCCGTTGCCGTCAGCGAGTGGATGTGGCATCATCCAGCTGCAAGAGTCAGAGCTCTGTCTCCACGGAGGACATAGCGTCAGACATCACCAACATTGTCAAGAAATGTAATGAGCTGGACCTCAACATAATTGTCATCTGGAAGGTACAGCAGGGCCAGATTTCAGCTCTGTCACACAGGTTGGGCGTAGTAAGCGAGAGAAGTCAGATGAGTTGTGATTATGTTGGAGCTTCTTCCTGATATATAGTATGTAGAACAGACACTTGGTAGATCTAGCCAAAATAGGATTCATATTTTTTAAATATTTTAGTTGTTATTGATTTTTAAACTAAAATGTATATAAATGTCTTGGTACCTGGCAGCAAGTAGATCTTTACAGTTTCAGGCTAACAAGATGTGGCGTAGGATATAAAATATAAGTAAAATTAGATAAAAACTCCCAACTGCAAATAGGTTTTTTCAAAAGAAACCAAATCAATCACAGGAAAACACGATCACTAATGATAACATGAGGAATAAAAGAAACTAAAGATATGTTGTTTTTTTAACCTCATTGTTCATTTACTGTTGCACTGTGGAGTATTGAGTTGCTCCTATTAGTCTTTTACAGTTTATTGTAAGGCAAGTGGATCCAGTAGTGTCGTATGTATTCAGTATTTAACATTCTGCTCTCCCCCTGCTCTTCATTTCATTTTCCTCCTTTGTTTCTTCATCCACCATCATTTTAAATCAACTATCTGATCTGTTTGGAGTAAAGTCAGCCATCTGCAGCCATCTTAGTATTTTCTCCACTTCATATAACTCTGCCTGCGATGGCTGTGGCCAGAAGCATTATGTTTTTGGGGTGTCCATATGTCCATCCGTCTGGCCCGTTCTTGTGAAAACGATATCTCAGGAACTCCTTGAGGGAATTTCTTCACATTTGGCACATGTCAGTGTGAACAGGCATTGGGCAGAATAGTACAGTGTAGGGCCAATGTTTGCAGTTTTGCTTGGTGTGTTATACACACTTAGTGTAAAGCAGTGTTTCATTTACATTGTTTTCAAAAAGTGTGTTACAAAGTTATAAATGTATCACACTCGGTGCATTAGCTTCATGGTGTTAATGGTTTCAGAGATGGAACTTCAAGAATCACTGCTAGTGTTTAGCAGTCAGAAACAACTCTTCTGGTCAAAGTCTAACATGTCATAACTTTAATAAAATCCTAAATGGACAGTCAGCACGTTAGACACCAGTTTGTAATGTGTGTCTCTGTACAGGCTTATGTAGTCGAGGACAACAAACAACTGATCCTGGAGGGCCAGCTCCATGTGGCGCTGCAAACCATTGGCAAAGATGCCAGTTCTCTGACTCCCAAAGAGGTCAGTAAGTACACACACTCTCAGTAACACAGTACACATGCTTTTGATAAAATGCCACATTTTTTTGTTACCGAAAATACACAACACTTCTACGAGGTTTTACATAGCATGTTGTAAAACAAGGAGCCAATCTGAAAGCTGACACAGGATCAACAGTGGACAGTTCAGTCTTTTGGATTTTATACATATACGTATATATATATATATATATACATACATACTTTGGTCAAAATTCAGATCATGACTATTTAACATGATTACTCATCAATTTTGGAAACATCCTGCATTTACTGAATTTTTAAAAACTGTCTTTTAAAGTGTTTTTTTTTTTACTTTGACGTCACTGAAGAACACGTTAAGTATTCCATCTAGAAAATTGTGATAGACAGTTGAGAGGAAATTCGGCAGCATGGAGCTTGGAGCCTCTCTACCTTAGAAATAGGTTCATCATAAACTGTGGCCATAACAGTTGTGGCTAAAGACCATGCATGGTTATGCACGTCTCCATATATATGATAAAAAAAACTACTGTTATGCTCACTGATATGTCATCTTCCATATCCATCTATATGATTAGCCTATAGAGTCTGTTATAATTAGGAGAACATTGCAGTAAAACAGTATTTATGTGGTTTTCATACTGTAAAAGGTTGGGGATATATAGGCCTATACACTCTCAACACTACCTGGATTTGATGTAGCCTGATAGGCTCAGTATCTATTAGAAAGGGAAGCAGATGCCACCACCTCACTCCTCGCCAGCGGAGAGTGAACGGTGCATGTCTTCAGATATTTCTAAGAGTTTAAAGATTGCTGGACTAATCCCCCTTGATATCTGGCCACACAGTAAATACCAAATACATTTAGTGAAAATCAAAATTCCGCCTCTTCATCAGGCCAACTGTGAGATGCTGCTACTGTTTGTGTTTATCTCCAGTCGCTCATGTGCTGCAGCTGTGCCTGTGCAGATAATCTTGAACATTCCAAAACCTGAATAGGATGTATACATGCAACAGTATCCTGGTTTCTTTTGGAGTACTCCACCTAGCATTTTCTGGTTTCTCAAAACCGGGATAAGAGTCTGTCCTATTTTCTGAAATCGGGATATGATGTTTACATACACAAAAACTTCATAAAGGGATACTGGTGTCCATGTAAACTCACTCAATGAGATTATTCCTCTCTAGGTAACCTGATAACTATTGTCACGGCACAAAAAACCTTAGCCCCTCATTTCCACTGGATGCGGCTGCGTTGCATTCCATCTGTGACGCAGTTTTGATCATCCTCTGTGCAGCTTCATGCCCCACAGGGTCGGTCTGCGGAACTGCTCATTGTGGTGCCGATTTTTCATGTAGGCTATTTTAGTTTTTGTTTTTGGACGGGCTTCATAGTTAGATGATCTAACCATCATAAACAGTAATATTAGAGTAAGTGTCCTCCAACCCCTCACTCTGCCTCGTTCCGTTTATACAGGAGGTGGCGCTAATTTATCCTGGCAAAAATAACTACCTCCCGATGCAGCATTTTGAAGGGTCAGCACTGACCCCCCATGCTGCTACTGTTTCATTTACACAGAACAGCGAGGTGAATGTGCAGTGAAAAAGGGGCTTGAGTGTGTGTTTTTGTTTCAGGAAGCTCCAGAGATGGTGCTGCTCAAGTTTAAATCGGAGCTGCCTCCTCCGGTCGTCCTGCCCTCTGTAGAGCTGTCCCAACTCATCAAAACCAACCTGCACTACCCTGAGAACTACACACATCCCTTTGGCCAGAGCAGGTGAGATGCACTCTGACACTTGCTCGTTAGTACAATGTGATGATTCATAGACTGTATGATCTGCATGCCCCCTCCATTTTTCTACACTTTACCAAAACATTCAGCAGTCCACAGGTGCATCCAGGTGTAATAGGATCGTGGTGCTTTCTTAGAGCTTATGATGCACTCGCACCTTCCTGATGGGCAAAGCCACGAGACGTTAGGTCTCGCCACTGATTTTTACTAATAAATGTCAATTGAGTAACCTTTGTGAATAACCCCTGAGAGGAAGTAAGATTTTTAGTAAGAAGTCCAGACACAATTAATGAAAATATTTTCAACTATTTGAGGATGGCTGTTTCCCAAAACTACAAGACCACACAATGTGGAAGGCAGCGTTTCACAAACTTTGACTTTCTGCTATTAAGGCAACACTGACTTTACATGCTCAAACTTATCACAGATTTAATTCATTTACATTGTTTACACATAATGAACAGAGAAAATAGTGCTGTGGCCTCACAGCAACAAGGTTCCCATTTTGAGCCCCGGCCGACCCGGGCCCTTTGTGTGGAGTCTGCATGTTCTCCCTGTGCCTGTGTGGGTTCTCTCCAGCCTCCGTGATAGACCGGGACATGCAGCTAAACTCCCCGTAGGAGTGAGTGTGGGTGGTCGTTTGTCTACATGTCAGCCCTGTGATAGACCGGCGACCTGCCCAGGGTGGACGCCGCCTCTCACTCAATGTCAGCTGGGACTGGCTCCAGTCCCCTCACAACCCTATTCAGGAATAAGCGGTACAGATAACGGATAGATGGACAGAGAAAAGACAAAAAATGATTAGTCAAATATCAGATAACAAGATGAGGATAACCATGTCTAATAATACCATAAAGGATTAAATTAACAATCATATACTGTGGCCTTGTTGAGACAGGACACAAACACCGATTATTAATAAAAATTTAAGGAGAAAAAGAGGGTAAGCAAAGACAGAACCGGTTTATTAACCGAGGAGTATTAGGACAAATCCCAGCTCCTTTCTAAATCACCACTTTGTCTATTAATGTTACAAGCGTCTGCGCAGTATATACATCTAACGTCGAAAAAAAAATCTGCTTTAACGCAGTAAAAGGTAACATACATGAGGAGAAATTATTTCTATGAAGTGATTTTGACTATGGAACATTGCCTTTCTTCTTGACTGTGTCTTGGAAATGCAGTAAAGGTGTAACCTTAGAGGCACTAAGCTGAATAAAACAAGCTACATCTGATTGTCTTTCTATCTCTAGTCTCTGTGTGGTGCCAGTTACTCTGACTCTGTCCAACTGCTCATTGGTTCATGTGGATGTCCTCATTGACTTGCGGCACAAAAGCACCAGGTAAGTATCTTGACAGATGATCCATCACATGAATAATGTGATTCCTTCTAGCACATAAGTCATGGTGTTTATCCCTGGTTCTGTATAAATATACATACTTAAGTTATCCCAGTTGATTATATGGACTGACTGCTTTCCGGTTCTTTCATTTGTCCTTGTTTTATTTGATAGAGGAAAGATGTTAAATATAAATTAAAGCCAGTTAAATATAAACTTAAATATAACTACATTTTCTGTAGTTTACTGAGATATCCATCCATGCCTTTTTCAGTCCTGAGTCTCTGGAGGTCCACAGCTCGTTCACCTGGGTGGGTCAGACCCAATACAAGCTGGAGCTGAAGCCTCAGGAGGTGCTGTGCCTGACTCTGCGAGCATGCTTCCTTAAGGCAGGAGTCTACAACCTCAACACACCACGAGTCTTTGCCAGGCCAGCTGAGCAGGGTGCCATGTGTGAGACGAGTCAGCAGGCAGCCACCCCTGCTCTCATAATTATTAACAACGCCTGAGCAGAGCATTGTGGCTTGCAGATAGGAGGGCCTGAACTCTGTGGCCTTCCAGCTGCTCCACTAGACACATGACCATACTTGCTTTTCTTGAATAATACTGGACAGGTAGAAACACAGATGTTTTGTACCAATGACTAAAACAGAAAAGGGTTTATTTATGGCAAACAGCTACAGTTTATAGAGATTCCTGATGTTGTGATGAAGCGGCCGATGATTTATGGACCTCAGAACTCTTTACTTTCATCAGCCAAGTATCAAAAATTCTTATTTGTACGTCACTTTTTCTGTATGTGTCAACACAGGTTTTTCTCCTAGCATCCAGTCTTCCATGCCTGTCTCCACCCACCCTGTTTGACCAACCTGTCACCAGCAGCGCAAACTATTGTTTGACAAAAGTTAGGTTGTGCTGGTGTTGTACCAGAATGTTGCCTCCCATCTCCAACCTTAAAGCTAAATCAGAGACACACTACTGCGCTTCTGTTGAAAGGACTGTGTCTACATTAAGACATCACAAGAATGCTGAAAACGGGGGTTTCTGCATGTCTGGTCCAGTTCAGTTGAACTGGCCTTTAGTTCCACACTTTGGACTGATGCTCTTTGTTACCGTAAACAACTTCAATCTGCAAATATGTTAAATTCCTGAACGGATTGAGCAGTAGCTTTGATATGACTGTTGCTTTAACAGCATACCAAGAGCTGTTTACACCCTGAATGTTGTGCACCTCACCGTCTCGCCAAGGCAAGATGAAGGCTGCCAACTGAAACCTGTCTTATTGCCCATTCACCCTATAGCAACCATGTACTCGTATGTTGATTGTTACAGCCCATCCAATCGCTATACCCCTGCTCACCCCCAACCTGTGTGCTTATTTGATCAAGCTCTTGTATGCAATGACTTTGACAGCTTTTCTGAAATTTATGTATTATATTTATATAGCTATTTGGATGTAAATAGAAAATAAAAATGTAACTAATGATACTGTATGTAAGCCTGTTGCAAGAGACTGATATCTGTTCACAGTTCTGTCTTTTCCTTACAGTAGCTGCATTCCACCACTTTTTACATGGTGTAATTAAAATGAACAGACAACGTCCAGCCAGCACAAATGGCACTGTGATAGCTGAGTTTTGAAGCACGCCCCTTGTGTTTTAGTCCTACCCATGTAAGATAAGAGGAAAATCTGAGGAGAGAGGAACCGACAACATGGAGACAAGTGTACTTCAGATGAAGGATCAGAGGATCCTTTGTCTGAAGTATTCAGTCAGTGATTGATTTCTAATAAAGGTGCATGTCTTTTACAGAGGCTGGTCTTGTGCATCCTTGACCATGGCTCCTCCGGGTAGCCTCCTTGCTGCTCAGAGCAGAAATAAAAACTTTGGTGGGTCCTTCGAGATGGCAGACTGGTTGAGCAAGGAGCAATCACTTAAGGGAATTGGGATTTAACCACTATCATAATCAGCTTTATTGGCCAGGTGCATTGGATACATGAGGAATTTGACTCAGGTACATCGGCTCTCAATGTGCATGTACATATCCCCATGCAAGGGGCAAGTAAACCAGCATAAGGCTGTGTAATAAAAGCAGTATATTAACAAGCAGCAAAATAAGCAGTAGAAACAGACAGTAAACAATGTAGACAAAGGAATGCTCATTGAAATGAGATAAATCACCACAACAGTACTTAAAGCTAGAGACTTCTATGACTCTGTATAATCTGTACAAGGTATATTTACAGGTATTGCACTGAGGATTATTGTCTAATCCCACTGTCGTGGGTTAAGTGTTCATCAGAGTGACAGCCTTGGGGAAGAAACTGTCCGAGGGCAGGCTGGTATCGATGACTTTCTGCAGTCCTGACTGTCGACTGAAATCTGTACTTGTCCTGTTTGGTTGCTGAGCCAAACCAGACAGTGATGGAGAAGCAAAGAACAGACTCGATGATTCCTCTGTAGAACTGTACCAGCAGCTCCTGGGGCAGGTCAAACTTCCTGAGCTGGCGCAGGAAGTGCATCCTCTGCTGTGCCTTCTTGGTGATGGTCCCGATGTTGGACGTCCACTTCAGGTCCTGGGAGATAGTGGAGCCCAGGAACTTGTAGGACTTTACTGCTGATACAATGCTCCCAAGTATGGTAAGTGGGGGCAAGGTGGGAGGGCTCTTCCTGAAGTCCACTGTCATATCCACTGTTTTAAGAGTGTTCAGTTCCAGGTTGTTGCAGCTACACCACAGGACCAGCTGCTCAACCTCCTGTCTGTAGGCTGACTCATCACCGCTTTGGATGAGACAGCCCAAGATTGCTGGATGGGGCATGTGGGAAGTCACGAGTTGGACAGTTCACACCTGTCCACATCCAGCGTGTCATCGTGCTTTATTCAAGAGCAGTGGGGATTTCAGATTCTTGCCAGTGCCCAGTATACTTCATTCTTTTTCCAAGATCTATATGGCCATTTTAATGTATCAAACATTTAATCAGCCTTTGTCAGGTTGGGAACCTACATGAAATCCTGTTTTGTCCCCTCTAGTGTACAAGTATAATTTTGGTGAAGTTGGAGATAAGCATGTTACTGAAATTTAGCATCTCAAAGCAAGCCGTCAGGAGATGTTAAACATCTCTACAACCAAAAGTGGCTGTTCCATTTCCCCCCCCCCCCCCCAAAAAACCGGCAACACCCCTGTAGTAAACACATTCACAACTTTATTTAATCAAGTGTTTACACCATTACATCACTTTCTTACAGATTCCATCAATCAAAATTTAAAAAAAATGCTGATCCTGAAATATTTTAGAAGGTGGCACACTAAGCTCGGGGCTGCTGGACACAAGTCAATAAAAGCTGCTGCAACATATAACAGAAGTCAGACATGAAGACCACAAGGACCTCATTTCTTGGCTGATCATGTGCACTTAATCTTGCTGACTGGTAGAAATCACGTGCTCCCTTGACACAGTATAACACAGCACTGAGTCATCAGTCCCCTTGTGCTGCAACAACTTCATACCTTGGCGACTGTCTGTAGAGACAGTAGTGCTGAATGATGAATAGGATGTCAAATACCACAGACAACATACCCAGACCAAACTTTGTTGGATCACCAAATATCAGCTTCCACTCATCTGAGGACAGAGACGAGCATTAGAATTAGTACAAACCACAGTATGTCAGTCAGGTCTAGAGTCTACTGTGTTCAAAAGGTATTTGTATTACCGACAGTATTATTAGGAAACAGCATAAATTTGCATTGCTACACAGATGATACTCCGTTATTGATCTATGAGCCCAGATGAAACTGATCAATTGGTCAAATGAATTCCCAAATTTAACAAGTTATCTTGTCAGAGTGGCTGCTAACTTCAGCTAGCAGACGGTCGCAGAAACTCAATATCTGTGAAATGGAAACTTCCATTAATTTGATTTAACTGTGTGGCAGTTACATTTGACAACTGAATGCCCACAATGCTACATACAATACCAAATGAAACAGACTAGAACATAACAGCAAAGTACAGTCAGTAGTTACCGTTGTTGTAAGACTGTAAGATCATCTGTAGAATGCTGAGGATTCCACCAGTGAAGTCCAGCAACACATTGCCAATGCTCCACCCCTCAGTACTTTGTCTCCTGTAGTTCATGTACGCCTGAAGGAAAAAAAACAAAAATAAACAACCCAAACAGCCAGAAAGCCCTGTCAACACGGTAACCATCTGTCAGTGATAATTTATCTGGTGAATACAAAATAAATATATAAAAAACTTTTCTATAAACAGGAGGAAAATACAGAAATATGTGCACTCTAATGAATTCAATACAACAGTCCTGGACAGAATCCGTTGCCACTGAGAATTGAGTCAAATCTGTCATCTACTCTTATTCATTGTTGTATTTTATTGTTTACATTGTGAAGAACAAGAATACTATTGTATCTACAGTATCAAAACACACAACATTCTAACAAACCTATTAGAAGACTACTACATTGCAATGCATTACACTGTGCAGGCGTTTCCATTTTTTGACATCCGTGTCTAAGGGTATAGCTTACCTGTGGCACATATTTGATCAGCGTGACTGCTAGTTTAATGTAGGAGAAGTAGTAGAGGTAATCCAACCAGGTGATTTGTTTGGCTACAGCAAGGAACAAGCTGACCAAAGCGAATGTCCAGCCAATCAGCAATAAAACCAAGGCTGTCCAAGAGACCTTCTGATTGCCCCTCTGGAAGAGAGATGACTGACATGATTATACATGCACACGTGACAGAAACGGCTACAAGATGAAACTTTTTTCATAATATTTTTGGTTGAAAATGATCCAAAACATGTGGAGAGCTGGTGTCAGTTGGCTGTTGTGACCCAGACTCAGCAGTGCAGAAATATTCCCTTTTAAAACTGATTTTAGTGAGCGTCATTCTTACACCCAATCAGACAAGGACAAACTCAGGAGTCAGAGCTCATGGCTGTCAGTTAACATGGATACGCTACTCCTGTTGCACCAAGGCTTCAAGCTAGTATTACATTGCTATGGCTGACTCACAGGCTAGCCACTTCCCTGTTCCCGCATTCGTTGAACCAGCATACATGACAAACATGTACAGTACCACTCAAAGGTGTGAGTGGGTGAAGGTGGGGAATGAGGAAGCAATGTGGGAAGGTAACAGGCCAGGCGTTTGTCAATGTGTGGCCTCAATGCCTGATCCTGTTGAATGGTGAAAAATGTTTGGTGGTTATGTGAAGGGCCTATCCTTTTTACTGATATGTTCCTTCCTGTGCGGACCATGTCAGTACCAGAGGCCACTCTATTACAGCTGGAGTTTCTTTTGCTCTTGAGCAACTCGGACAGGGGCACCTTGGAATTCTTCGGCAGTCGACCCCAGAGAGACTGTCCAGGCAGATTCTCTGGCAGGGGGATGGAGCGGGACATGCAAACAGTCACACAGAAGGAGGAGAGATCAGGGCTTCAAAGGCTGCCACTTCCTACAGTGATCCTTGCCAGTGTTCGATCACTTTGTAGCAAGTTGGACGAATTGATGGCTAAAGTCAAGTTTTTGGAGGAGTACAAAGAAACCTATGTCCCCCACCAACAAAAACATGGCTCAAGGAGCATGACCTGGATGTCGACTTAGAGATTGAAGGGTCTGGCAACAAACTTTCAACAGTGACAGCTAAATGGGCGGCTACAGCTTGCAGGCTGATCAACACTGTGAAAGACAAGGGTCTGCTTAAAATAATTTGCATCACATCCAAAGACTGTATAGGACGATACACAACTTGTATGAAGATGAAAAAGCTAAAGCAGAGGAGGTGTTGGTGCAGACAAATGCTGTTGCTCTCACTGGAGACTACTGGACCTCTCTCAGTACTCTGTTACCTCAGGGTCCCTTTAAGGTACATTTAGGACCAGTGGTGGAAGAAGAACTTGGGTCCTTTACTTCAGTAAAAGTAAAAATACAACAGTGCAAAATACTCTGTAAAAGTAAAATTGCCCAATTGCACAGCCTTAAGAGCGTGCATATCATGAATGCTGGGTCTTGTTTGCTTTCTGAGAATCTACTGCACCTACTGGTAACTTGTTTGCCATGTAGCAATAAAAAATATACTAAAAACCTGGATTATTCTGGTTAGTCACATTGTACTGCTATTATTTTGAACAATACTGTACATAAAGTACTAATTATGCAGAACGACACATTCCTCTATTATTGTATTATAATTACTGATGCATTACTGTGCACATCACAATAAAGCTGTAAAGGGGAAATTTGTTTTAACTAGCTTCTATCCATTTAATTTGAATTACTGCTGGGTAGCTTGTGAATTTTCCACCATAGATCAATGAGATCTTATAATTATACTGTATATGCTATAAAACAAATGCAGTGGAGAAAAAAGAAGTACAGTATTTGCCTGTAAAATGTAGTGAAGCAACAAAGTGAGAATAAAAGTACAGACACATCAAAATTCTACTTAAGTACAGTACTTCAGTAAATGTACTTGGTTACTTTCCACCACTGTTTAGAACAGTGAAAAAATGCAATTAATTGCAAGTTAATTAAGGGCAATAATGTGTAATTGCAATTCAATATTTTAAAAATTGACTGACAGCACAATGTTCACATAGAAACGACACCTACCTCATAAACAGCAGCCTGGCTGATGTAGACCAAACAGAGCAGCACAGCATGAAGGCTAAAGAAGACATCATTAGCGCTGACAGGGTTAATTCCATTAGGGTTCTTCTTCAGAAACTCCTCCTACAGGGCAGGAATACAGCAGCTTGCCAGACAGCATGCACACACTCACACATTGCTGTTCATGGACCACTGTTTTGCATCTCATGCTGATGCTAAAGGGTGCCACTGGCACCCATATAAGACACTATCATGGCTTAGGTTGAAACACATGCCAATTAAAAACCACTGTGTTATACACTGGAGGTGATAACCACTGATGTTTTTTTGACTCATACCACCACCTAATGCAGACTTTCTCCCTTCATTAACTACAGCCTCTTGCTCTGGACTTCAAATATGAAAGGATCTATGTGGACTAATGAAGAATTAAAATGCTTTCTTGAAATTTGGGCCGATGAAAACATACAAAGACAACTGGATACTACACACAAAACCTCTTGAGATTTATGAAAGCATTAGTCTTTACATGTGCCCAGTTGATGCGATTCACTGCTGCTTCTTCTTCTTAGCAGATTGCAAACCAACTCCATGTATACTGTATCAAACTGTGTGCTGGGGCACAAAACAATGTTATTAGTGTGAAAGCAGATCTGCGAGGGAGAAGAAAGGGGGGGTGCAATCATGCTTGGGCAAGGTACAAAACGATCTTGCCCAATATGAAAACACCCTGGTTGTTTTCTATGCGCTTTTCACACTAATTAGAATTCCATTCCATCAAATGACTCAATCCACACTGAATCCAAGAGGCCTGCGTCTCCCATAGAACACTCCCATTTTTTATGCTTCATGTCTATTTTTCCTCCTCTGCTGCGTTTAGTGAAGCGTAATCTTGACAGTCAGCTATCTGAAATCACACAAAACCTGTTGGTTTCTGTTTCTACCGGTATTTGTTACGACTGATCAGGCTGCTTGAGTTTCACTTTAATGAGCCACAGAAAATCAATACAATCAATATATCCGTAGGCTACGAATAAAACGTGATTTCTTCCTGATGATTTCACATGAAAACTATTTTTGTCCAGTACACCTGTGTTGTTGGTCAGCCTGGTAAAGACTCTGTCCCACCGCTGTCCTGGCAGGCAGACAGCTGCTATGACGACTAAACAACGGAACGCGCCGCTCACATCTCACTATCAGCATGTGATGAATGAAGTCACGCTTCAGTAGCATCTGTGTCTCGTTTCCAGTGTGTTTTACCAGTTATTCATGTCCATTTCTTCTGGTATTGTACGTGCCCACTCAAGTGCAGTCATCTTACTGTACACTTTTGATTAAAGCGGTATCCCAAGGATTTAGCTATTCACTTTTGAAAGATTTCTCCAGGCTCAGTGGTATTGAACATGACCAGCAGACTGACCTTCATGTGTATAAGCATGAGGTGCCCTTGTAAGAAACGAGGCAGCTACCTTGATATATGGCACCCAGAACAGCCCTATGTTGAAGACACTGTAAGCAATGAAGCCAGTTAGGTTGAGAGCCAGGAAGTCAAAGTTAAGACCTATAACACTGGAGAAGAAAAACAAACAAACAAAAAACCACATTAGCATTATTTGTGTGATTCGGTAAACCCCTTGAATTAAAGCTGAAAGTCTACATTTCAACATCATGAGGTCTTAATTTTAAATCTGCTGTGGTGGTGTACAGAGGCACATTTACTAAATTGTGTCCCAGTGCAAATACAAAGAGCGGGGAGAGAAGTAACCTACCTTTTCCTCCTCCAGTTTTCCCAGGCTTGTGGATAGAAGGATACTGACCAGGCCAGGAAATAAATCCAGCCTATCACCTGAGCAATTACTGACAGGATGTTGCTATGGACAACCATGAAGCGGATCCTCACAGGCAGACTAGTGTAGAGAGAATCGGGCTTAGAGACGCAAAGAAACTGGACGGTTACAAGGTACCATCATATTCTACAGTACCATAATAACAACATATTTTTCAAAACATGTATGGAATTTTAGGATCAGGTTTTATCATACTTTTCAAGACATGTATGGAATTTTAGGATCAGGTTTACAAAATATATTGGCAATGCACACTACTATCATGCACACCCAAGTCTTCCTGAGGGCACCTGCATCTCATTCTAAGGACAGCCTATAGTTTTTGTCTAGCATGAGGCCTATAAGCACCTATTCAGTGAATGGATTGATGCAACCTGTTCAGCACAGTCTGGTGTGTGCTGCTGGACTGCCCAGCATGACATAAGACTGCTGCTTTTTTATTGCTGGTGTTTATTTCTGGGAGCACTGATGTCCCTAAATGAAGAAAACACCGAGGTACGTTATTATTCAACTGAATTGAGCATTGAATGTATAGTTCATCCGAGTTATTTCAACCTTTTTAGTAATGTTTATGTTTAATGTTGCTAAACAAACAAACAAAAATCTGTAGGTTGAGAAGAGGGTTGAGTGGAAACCTAAAAAAATATTAGGTACCACTTTACCATACAGCACACAAACTGTGCATAGCCAATACAATATGAATGAGGAATGAATCAAGAAAGATCCTTGTTGTTCATGAGTACTTCCCTGATAACATCTAACGATAGGATCTTACATTAAATGATTAGTACTACAGAACCAGATGGGAGATGTATCAGTATTGCACTCAGATTGTGGCCCCACCACCAACAGCCCAGGTCTGTCGGAGGTTTAAAGGAAGGTTTTCCTCTCCACTGAATTAAATTAGCTTCAGCTCAACTGCCAAATTATTATTATTATTTTTTTTTTTTTTTTAACACAGCATGGATTTTGTCTCTTCTACTGTATGTATGGGTACATCAGTACCATTTGGAGACAGATTTAAAAAAAATAAATAAATACAAAGCTATCCCGCAAGTCTTATGTCAGTGCACACTGCTTCTGTAACGATACCCACTTGTTGAAGTCCGTGTTGTTGCTAAACAGGTATGTGGTCACCTGACCAACATCATGGGAAGCCACACTAAAAGGGAGTGAGGTTGCATCCACTGGCAGCAACACCTAAACAAAACCAAGGATATATTACAGAAGGCTATACAGAGATAACTATGAGCCCTCTTTGTCGGTATACTTCTGTTGAGCTATGGCATTAATTTTTTCACTCCTCAGCATGTTTTCAGCAGGGAGAATGCAGCCATGGCAGCTGGGTGCAGGTACTCTTTAAATGGCTTGCAGTCAAGTGCCAACTGTCTGTGTTCCAATAATTTTGGCTGGTGTAAAATTCAGCAGTACTTAAACATAAGCTTACAGACTAACCTAGAGGAAGGTATTGCTGCAAAATGCACCAGTAAAAACTTGGATTCACGTGTTACCTGTTCAGGCAGGGTGATTACAGATGAGTAGTTCAACGTGGAGCTGTAGGTGACATTTAACTGAATCACAGCTGACTGGTTCACCGGGGAACTACAAAAATACACCAAAACCCAGTCAAAACATCACTGATCCCAATAGCTGCATTTACAAACTACAAGAACAATAGCTTCCAGGATCATGTCGGCAGCTGTGCAGTCAGCACTGTAGTACTGTGTAGTGTCTGTGTGTTACATGGCAAGTTCACTGCTTTAAGAGAACAAAGCTGAAAAATACAGCTGAACACGCCTGGCTCGAAGGCAATTGCCACTCATTTATTCCATAACACAAAACCACCACAGTTTATAGGAGCACAGAGGTTGAAGCATCAGTATCAAGTGTATTATGCAGGAAGGCTGCAGTACTATCAACAAGATTATCGATTTGTGTGGGAGTAAAGTTAAGGTGGCCTCCTTCGACTGTGTTGGCAAACGGCACTGAAGCAGATAAAGATGGAATTATTTCCTTAAACTTGGTAACAGCATTGTCAGATAGACATCTGCTGTAGTGGAATTGTTTCCCACATAGAGTATAATCCATTAATGGAAATTCAAAAGTTATTAGAAAATGTCAGACAGAAGAGGGTTATGGGGAAAAACTATTAAGTGTTCAGTTTCGATGCCATATGTCAGAACAAGATCAAGAGTGTGATTAAAACAGTTTGAGAAAAGCAGACTGAGCCTAATAACGAATTAAACACATTGTTGAAGCTGCTAGCAATTTCATGAATATTAAAGTCGCCTACTATGATTATTTTATCTGTACTAAGCACTAAATCAGACAAAAATTCAGTTAGAAGCTTAAAGAGGGGCAGGAGGACAATATACACCAACACACAGAACTGGTTTTTGAGCTTTCCAGTTCAGTTGTGAGAGGCTCAAAAAAGTTTTAACTATGGGTAACATACATCAGATGCTCTGTATTTTGACCACTAGAGGGCGCCACAGCACAAACATCATGTTTGTGAGTTTCTCTATAAAACAGATTTCTGAGCAACATCATCAACAATATACACACATTATGTAGGTAGAAAACAAAGCAGAATGATAGAGACCATAAAAAGTAATGCTGCAAAGACATGTTGTGCAGTAAACTGCTTAAATCACAAAGTATCGCTAGAAAATGTCAGCATCTCAAAGGGGAAGCAATCCGTCAAATAGAGAATGAGAAAATTGTTGGTTAAGCAATACAGAGAGACTGGGGTCCTTCTGGCCTCAGTGGCTGGGAGCTTGTACAGTGCTCATCTCATTTCTGTTGAGTGTTTCTACCCAACTTCTGTTAACTGATACTGAAAGCCTTATTTAAAAGCTTGGTGGGACCTGTGATATGCAAGGTAGTAAAAGAAGAACATTATTTACTTATTTGTTTTCATGTAAGCTATTCATTTATATAAAACACTGGATATTACATCCATGCTGATAACTGAGGTAAGAGCACTTCAGTGAAAGGTTATACATGGTCTCTTACTAAAGAAAGGTCATCTCTGGCTTTGTTCAACCGATTACTATTTAAAAATGATGAGAATCTCCAGAAGATAAGCAAACATCATAGTGCACTATCTCTCTAACCCCGAATGCACATGCATTCTTGAATGTTTGTCATCAGGAAACCTGTCTATATGCTAAAGGAGGGGAGAGTCACACCCCAGTCTGGAGGCACCTTATAAGAGGCCTGCTGAGAGACGTGACACTGGAAAGACAAGTGCTGTGTTTCCACTGTCGAAACTTAAACTGTAGAACGACATGGACTGTCATGCTTTGTGTTTCCACTACAGTTTCCCTGTGTTGGTCTCTGTTTAGGTCTCGTTGTCCTCTAAACCAGTACAAGTGCCTCTTCACTCACTGTGCTTGTAATGCTAATGCTTAAGGTGTGAAGAGCAGACATTAACCAATCACAGGGGACTGCTCTGTGAGCAATTTTCCCTTTCCCCCTGCATTCCTCGAACTTGATTTTAGCACTACCTCATGAGGGGTGCTGAAATTTAGCTCCTGGACCACACCTCCAAAATGGGCAGAGGGCAATGGAAACAAACGCAGAACCCGTGACGAGCGTTACTCGGCTCGATGTGTTTCAGTAGGTTCCTATAACAGGAAAAACCCCTTTAAGCATATCTGGTCCAAGACAACGCTTATAATGAAATGAAACAAAGGTTATAATCCAAGTCAGCAAAACCTTATATAATCTTGCTAACCATGTCCCCAGTTTTAAACTACAATACACTGTGCTCAGCTACATGATGAGATTTTAATAAGTAGATAGTAGCAGGCGGTTAGGATCAGAGGCAGACAGGTGCCATGCTGTTGGTGACTGGAAATAGAAAAGCACAGTTTGTCAGGCTGTACCCACTGTCTGAAAACAGCTCCAGTCAGCTCCCACATTCTCCCCACTGCCTCAGAGGTTTTCTGACTAATGCAAAGCAGTACAAATGTATAGATGTTAGTACAGCTTTTCCAAAATCCTTGTGCAGACTGTGTTTATGAAGTTACCTGGTAGTAATTGTGATGTTAGCATTAGAATTTTCTTCTAGTGTGACAGCATCCGGAGCAAACAAAAAAACTGTGGACTCTGAAGGACAAAAAAAAAAAAACACTTTAGAAATGAACAATTTCTCTATCAATTCAAGATGCTCACTGAAACAAAAGAGTATATACTGTAGGTTTGCATCAAAACATAGTATGGATAAAGTATATTTACCATCATCATAATCATAATTATGCTTCACTGGCGACCGAAATGTTTACCATTTTCAAAACCTATAAACATTTTTTTACTGGATGAAAAAAAGAACAGGTCATAATTCAACCAGTTTAAACGTTTATGAACAATAATCCTGTGTTTTTATTTTTGTCCTTTGTGCCAGCACCCCACAATTCACTGTAAATAGACAAAACAGTCAGTCACCAGAGATGTTGGTCAGTGTCCACAGGAGCAGCAGCTGAACAGATAGCCATTGTTTTGTCAAGCCCAGATCAGCCATCTCTGCAAAAGGATGGATACTGCTGACCTAAGGCACATAAAGCAATCTCAGTCATGTATGCACACCAACCTAACAGAGTAAATGCATAGCCTGGGCTCTAGATTATAAATGCAGTAGCAGTCTAATCTGAATACATTTTTTTAACTGTTTCAGGTGTGGATTATTGAGCCTCCAAATATCCACTAACTCCAATGTTTGTTTGAAGGATGAGATCCGAGGGGACGCCTTAGGTGCGTGGGGAATCTGTCCAGTCGCCTGGTGCCACATTAATATCACCACCTACAATCACCTAATCTGTCTGATGAGGGAACTGCCATTGTTCAGTCAAAGCCTCCAGATCCTAAAATAGTGTCCTGTTTTTACAAAAGACTATGACTTGAGAGTATGATGCGATACCTGAGAGTCCAGTTAAATAACTTTATAAAACTACTAAACCTTTGTTTCTTTTTTTCTTCTGTTGTTGTTTACTGGCTTATGTCTGTTATTAATTACTATTTTTGAATTTTACATTTGACTGTTATATTGTTATTTCTTGCAATAATTAAAAACCATGACAGTAACAAGGTGAGGCGCGGCTAGAAAAAGGTAAAGGGGGGTAAAGGTGGTTACTAACAGTCAGGATACAGCTTAAAACCTTAAACTCAAAAGTGAAGATATGCTTTAACTGACAAAAGAAAATATAATGCGTTCTGCTATTCATTTGAGAAATGCCATCTCTTTATAACAGCTCCAGAAAGCAAACTTAATTTGACTGTGTGCGTCAAAGAATATTGACGTTTGACAACAGAACTTTCATCACGTCTACTTGGTCTCGGGGAAACCGTGTTATAAGCTAATTATATAACAACAAGTTACCGACAAAAGTAGCAAACTAAGCAGAAGCTGTCGGAAGCCATGCATTTGCTTTACTACAAACCAGTAAAGAAACATATTAAACTTACCACAGCTGTTTGTAGACAGACTTTACTTCCTCATTGGCTTTTTAAATAGCTTCTTCTTCTTCTGTGTTTGTTAAAGGCAGCCGGCATCCTTTTGTTGCGTTGCTGCCACCAACTGGACTGAAGTGGGTATTGGGGAGCTAACATTTTACTATTTCTAATAACTAAAAGGAAGAAATAAATAAAGCAATTCCATCCATCCATCCATTTTCCTCCGCTTATCCGGGACCGGGTCACTGGGGCAGCAGTCTAAGCAAAGATGCCCAGACTTCCCTCTCTCCAGACACTTCCTCCAGCTCCTCCGGGGGAATGCCAAGGTGTTCCCAGGACAGCCGAGAGACATAGCCCCTCCAGCGTGTCCTGGGTCTTCCCTGGGGCCTCCTCCCGGTGGGACATGCCCGGAACACCTCCCTAGGAAGGGGTCCTCCCAAGAAATATTGTTTCGAGAATATTTCTTCTTTCCACCATTTTGTCCGCTGCTAGAGGAACTCTTAAGCGCTTAAAAGTCCTCCTCTCTACTCTTACGGATTTTTACCTTAGGAGATGTTCTTAGGGCTAAGATGTTTCGTGAATCACTTTTATCTTTACTAAAATTTAGTGCTAAATTTAAAGGGAAATTCTAAAAAAAAAATGTCATAACTCTGAGAGTTTTCTTAGAATTTCGTCACTAGGAGCAGCTTTTAGGCTTAGGAAGCTTTGTGAATACGGGCCCAGGTGTTTCAGGCAGACCCAGTGCCACAGGCATATAAAATCAAGCACCTAGCCATGCAGTCTCCATTTACAAACATTTGTGGAACAAAATGGGTCATTCTGAAGAGCTAAAGGACTTCAAGCATGGTTATGTGATAGGTTGCCACCTTAGCAATAAGACAGTTCGTGGAATTTCATCCCTGCTAGATATTCCACAGCTGTACGTGGTAGTACTGGAAAGTGGAAGCGTTTAGGAACAACAGCAATTCAGCTACGAGGCTGAAGACCACATAAAGTCACAGACCAGGGTCATCGACTGCTAACTGCAAAAAGGTCACCAACACTGCTGACCAGAAGAGCTCCTAACTCCCACTGGCATTAATGTAAGCACAGAAACTGTGTAGCGGTAGCTTCATGGCTTCATGCATGCCAGCCTCACATCACCAAGTCCGATGCCAAGCATCAGATGGAGTGGTGTAAAAAAATAAGGCATGTGTGCATTTAAATAGGAAATATGTGCAATCAAAAATAGGGAAAATCAGATATTTAATTTAATTTAATTAAAGACTAAAAATTTTGACCAGAATTTTAGGCAAACGAAACAAGATTGTATGCAGGTAAATACAGCTCCTTGTCCCTAAATGGTTCCGTCGTCCCAACATTCAACAATGCGTGACGTACCATCGCGTTCTCTGTTTGTATTACTCTTGAGCCACACTCCTTACCAGTTGGTGGCGTCAATGCACCAATTCGTTGCTTGCCAACCACCAATAAACCCCAGAAGAAGAATTAGTAGACGACGAAGAGGAAGAAGACGACGACCTTTGGCTAAATGCTTCCTGTTAGGGCACATGACTGCACCATGAACAGAGTGCTGCCATACACCTATCAGAAAATCATTGGTTGACTGTTTTCACAATGGCGAACGTGGTTTTTATGAAGCGTTATGCTCCACAATGTTTGGTATCATGGTAAGACTCACAGAATAAAGTTCGCGAAGGCTTGCCTCGTATCTGGACTGACAAGTACGCTCATGTTAGCATAACCTACTGTCAAACATTCTGGAAATTACGGACAAGAATGGTCACGTGAGATTTCACTTATGTTGAATGACCTTTAAGATATTTTGTGTGTGCCGCAGATGGTGGTCGTGTGTCCGTATGGGCCGCTGTGTTTGCCTTGTGTTGACCCAGACAGGTTGCTAGTCATTGTTGCCTCTCCGTTCATACAGTGCGCGGTTCGTCCAGGCGTCTCTGTTCCACACTCGGATCACTCGGTTCAACTCCAACAGGACATCGGTGGCGCGCTGTTATCGGCAGAGATACGAGAGGCTGTATCCTGTGCTGCTGGTCCGGCCAGATGGGTCCACCGTCAACATCAAATACAAAGAACCCAGACACATTCTTACGGTTAGCGCACAGACTCCTTCACTTTTTGTTGTGTTTCCATAGAGTGCTGTTTAACGTGCATGTGCAGACTGTTTTATTAATAGAATGATTCAAAAATGTTCCTCGGGGTCTGGACTTGCATGATAATACACTGACAAACCATCTGAACTTTATGATTATTTTCGTTTGTGCAGGCGCATTAAGAAACTCTTTTAAAGTCAGTTTTATCATTGCACTTTAATAAATGTGCATTGGCTATAGTGCTGATTTTAAAAAATGGTTGATGATTTGAATTTGCTCTCTGTTTATCTAAGCCATGTATAATTCCCACACATCCTAAGGTTATCATCATTAACAAAATGTAAGGATCTGTATATGCCTGTGGGAAGTGGTATATCTCTGCCCTACTGTTTATAATGCCATCAACCGGTAAGACGAAATTGGCATACCACAAACCAGCAGTGATATACCCCACAGAACTGACATATGCCTCTAGACAAAGAGTGGCATACCATCACACATTTTTCATTCTCAGTGTCTCTAAATACGACATCTAGAGACATATAAAAAATAATGTTCAAAATTCAGACAGCTGAGATATCCTGCCTTTCATCCTATTGTCAAGCACATGATGAATAAACTGACTTATTCAATTAAATCATTTCATTTAAAATGATTTTAGCAACGACATGCTCTGTCACTACCCTAACCCAACCTTGGTAATACTGACACTTACGTAAATACGCATTGCCCCAAATTCATACTCTACTTTAGTAAGATAATATACGGTGCACAGGTACTATAGTGAATGGGTCTGAGTATGTTCATTCATATTAAATTTAGTAAATTAATTTTTTTCCTATGTTTTGAAAGCTGCCAGTCAATCTGTCTGCTCTGTCTGAAGAGGACCGTCAAGCTCGACAGAAAAAGAAACAAGTAAAGAAGACTGAAAAACAGACAGCAGTTCACTATGAAGATGACTTCAAAGCTGAGAAATACAGCCACTTCTGGAGGAAGAAATAACCAATTTATATGTGAATGTCACGTGTGACTGAGGCAACCTTTTTAAATTAGACTCTTGAAAATATAAGTTTCCATTTGTTCATATACAGTGTGTTTAAATGAGATCATTTTCATTCCAAAAATGATTCTTCCAAAAGAGGCAAACTTGAGATGTTGAAACCCAGACTTAAAACATTCTTATGGCAGAATGTCTGAATGAACACCATGTTTCCAAGAGGAAATTCTGATGCTGGGTTTTTCTTGGAGTCTAGGGGTTACACTATAAGATGTGTAAATAACACGCTAAAGCAGGAAACCTTAACAATATTATGTTGATAAAACTTTTTTTTAAAGCTGTTTATTGTTGTGGTGAATATTTTATAAGTCACAAAACATGTTGGATGGTCTCCATATTTTGTTGTTGATGGATGGGCTTGGTGGCCTGAAGCACTAAAGATGTCAGCTGGACTTGCTTTAAGTTTTTGAAGATGTTTCATCTGTCATCCGAGAAGCTTCTTCAGTTCTGACTGATGGTAAGTCCTATGTGTTGAACCTCTGTGGAACTGTTAATGCCTTTGGTAAATCCTGGTGCCTGTATTTCATTGTTCTACAGTATTCTCCCCATCATCCTCAATCATCAATCCTCACTCAACCGTTATTTTAAGTTGCAATAAATGCAAAGTTTTTTTCAACTTAATTTTTTTTTTAATATCACTTTCTTTGCCCTATTATTACACTTAAAAATATGGCTACATTTCAATGCACTAAATTCCAAGTTGAATTGTTTCTAATCATTGTTTAAAATCAATTGTAATATCTGTGGCTTTACTCAGTAACTTCAAGTAATATCTTAAGCTATCATGAGTAAAATTGCACCTCTTGGAAACATGTTACCAAAACCAATACAAAGACACATGTAAGGTTGCCCTACACAACCATATTTAATAAAGCTGCAAGTGTAAGGAAGGGGTAGGCACTGAATTTAATACTAAACTTCATCATGGTTTGCGTTTTTCATTATTATGAAAAGAAACTACTATGACTAAATTTAATACAGCCTATTTTATAAACAGAAAGTTTCCACCATGAATGGGCTTTTCAAAATACAAATAGTAGAGTGTCTGATGTGTTTTAACTCTCCAGCAATGCATGTTGGGAAGTATGCTATTTTGTTTTTTTTTTACAAACTTCACTTAATGAGTTGAGTGAATTCTTAGCAGTTCATTCAATTCATCAATTTTGTGATTAAAAAAAAAAGACTAAATGTTCTAATTACCAAGTTATCTCTGTTTAACATGATCACTGCATTGCATATTTCAGATGCGTAGTAATAGTAAGTAATAAAATAATATGGATATATTGCAAAGGAATTGAGAAGAACAGTGTTTTAGGGATACTGGGTTAATAGAATATGAAAGTTTGGTAGTTAGATTATTTTGACCCACTCCCATTCAGAAGGTGGCGGTAATGCATCTAACGTTGCTTAACAACCGCCTAAAATAGAAGAAGGGGAAGACGTTTCTCGCGAGACTTCTGTTTCTTGGACTGTGTCCTTCCTGATCAGTCTGAAATGGGTTACTGGGACATACCAGACGGCACGGATTGTGTCCAAAAAACATGGATTACAACCAAAGTGGCCACAGCTTTGGGTAAATATCAGCATTGATTATACAGTTCGTGTCGTGCTGGCTATAGATATCGGTCGCTGCACTTGGTGAACGCAAGTTAGTTGTGTGCTGAAACAGCCTTAGTGTTTAGCTAGTGTGAATGCTTTTCAGTTAGTAGATTAGCTCAGGACTGGTGCTGCATAAATGCATTCATAGTGATTTTTGATTTGTCATATATTCAGTCTGCCATTGCATCTCTGTACATGGGTCGTTATAATCTTCACATCCTGCTTATCAAAGGTTTTTGTGCCACTTAATACTTCAGAATAAACAGCAGTGCTATGTACAGACACTCCCTCTGATGAGAAAGACACACCGGAGAGCCTCCCGTACAACGCTAATATCAGCTACAACACAGCACATGGGCCATAAACATGCTTGTGGCGATTGTCAGACCCCCTGCAGAGAAAAGTCCAATAGTGCCTTCAGATTGGTGTTGGCCTTGTTTCTGTCCAAGGTCAGAGGACACTGAGTGGTGCCAGTGTCCTCTGAGCCTCCATGTCACACATTATATAGCAACGAGACAAAGGTCTGAGAACTTTGTGCCATCTTTCTCATTCACTACTACAGACAGTTCAGTTTGGCTCTGTCCAAAATAATAGAGATTTCATAGTCAACCCTAGAAGGCAGTTGTTACTTTTTGTTGTTTTGAGGTTTGTTAATTGTGTGTATGTGTCTTTGTTTGTGTGTTCCTAGGCCTGGTGGGTACTGCCTATCACATAGTGGCATTCCAGCCTGATTCTGCATTGGCAGCGCTACAGAGAGTTACAAACACAACTGTTACCATGGGTAAGTTTTCATATTATTTTTCACAAATGCACAGTACGTAGTTGTGTCATGTACAGTATAAGTTCCAATTCCCACTGCTTAAAAACATAACAGGAGATTAGAGAGAGAGATGTGATCTTTACATAAAGAAGCAAAAGTAGACACAAGCTAGCAGGTGAGGTGGTCTCACCTTGTACAACCCATGAGTAGACACACAGTAAAATTTCAGAGCTTAGGGTATAACGTTCTCCGGCAATGTGCCAGAGAACAGTTCTAATGCAAGGGCTTTTTTTTTTTTTGACAATGGATATTATATAGAAAGTATTCTCACAAATGTTTTAATGTTTAAGAATAGGCCAATGGCTGTATATGTATACTTTTACTAATAAAAACCTTTGTTTGCACTTTGATTCAGTGAATTGTCAGCACAGTATTCACGTGACCACAGCACAATACATTGAAAAAGCTCTGAAATGAACACCCTGTTCGTTTAGTCCAGAAGATCATAACCATATGAAAACTAATTTGGTAATCGTTTAACAACAGCAGATCAACTATGCCCCATCCCGGTGTTTAATAGAGATCAAAGGAGAAGTGAGTGTTGAAAAGTTTGAAAGAGCCGTGTTGGATAGTTGGATCAACTTTATGGTGTTGAGAGTTGTACTTGGACTTGAATACAGTTAATCTACCAGACTATGGTTTCCGACTGAGGAAAGGGTGAGTAGGCGATGCATTTTTCCACCACTGAACCTTTTCAAGTTAATGTGATTCACATTCAGAAATGGTTAGATTTGGTGCTTCTGTCTCTGAAAGGGATTGCGGTGTCTTTTGGCTTGTAGCCTACAGCTTGCTGTCTGTGTTTTTAGCAGACCAATATTTATGATTTGTTTTGTTTTTTGCGTGTTGATTGATTGTTATAACAGTAACCTACATTAGGTATCTGGTTATGTTCAGACATCTTCAATACTTTAAATCACGCTATGCTCAGGGAAGAATCTAGAACATTTTGGATGGGGTTGCCAGGCTGGGCACAGACGCAGAGAGGTGTGGCATGAAATACATACAGTATCAAAGGTAAATTAAATCTCTAGGCCAATGACATAAGCTATATATTATAAGAATCAAATTGTTTATTTTGTGTAAAAATGAGTGCTTTCTTTAGTTAACACACTCTACTACTACCTCTTGCCAACCCTATGAGTTTAGGTTCAACTCAAATTTCTTTTTGTGGATTAAGCTTCTTTATGCCCACCCTGGGCCTCTGTTCAAACTCATGAATATAGATCTTGATATTTTCCTTTGACTCACTAATTCAAACAGGGGGGGCTCTTTTTCCTAATGTATTTTGCACTGGCTATTTAGCTCCAGTACTTGTGATCTTTCCTCAAATAGCATCATCAGAGTAGTATTGTTGGAGCAGATCACAAGCACAAAAGGAGCTTTTCCATTATAGGAATCTACCAAAAAATGTCGTGCCACATAACATTTGTCACAGGTTCTGCATTTGTTTCCACTATGGTGCGCCCACTTTGGAGGTGCGTTCTGGGAGCTAAATTTCAGCACACCAAGGGAGGTTGTACTAAAATCAAGTACCAGGCATGTGATGGGGGGTGCATGTGCACAAAGTAATCACTGATGATTGGCTAAAAACAAAGCAGGATGGTTCGTGTCAACCCCATAGGCTATGCTTGATGATGGTTAAGGGAAGAGCAAGGTATACTGCTTGTTAAGTTCCGATAGTGGAAACACAACCAAAGCCTCATTACATGCAAATGAGTTATGTATTTGAACCCTTTTAAGTTTGACTGTTAGAAGTAATGATGAATTTTGGATTTATAAAAACACTTAATTTTCATGAAGATGGTAGAAGGGTAAATTCTATATCATCTCGTCTGAGGTGAGTTTTGCCTCCCCACACTTTGAAAACTGTCTAGATGGTTGCATCAAATTGTACAACATTGATATGTGTGTCTCTCTGTGTTGTACCAGCCACCGTGGGAGCCATCTTTGGCATGACAACATGTCTCGCTGCTCAAGCTCGTGACGCCCCAGATGAGCCACTGAATTACTTTATCGGGGGCTGTGCCTCTGGGATATTTCTGGGAGCCAGAAGTAAGTATCACTCCTGGTAGAGGAAAGCAGGGTGCTTTCCATTCAGCTAATTCTCCTCCCAGCTCTGTCCTTCAGTCTAAAACACAACAATAATAATAATTATTATTATGCAACAACAAAAGTGTGTATCCCTCAGTGGCCTCCCCTCAGTGTTGGTTACTGAATTCAGCTGAGTGGATTTAGTTTTAATTTCACACTGTTTCCATGTTCACTCAGTCACAAGCATTCTCATACACACCGGTGAACAGCCACCAGAAGCAACTTGGGCTTAAGTGTCTCGCTCAAAGACACTTCAACATGTACAGTGGTGTGAAAAAGTGTTTGCCCCCTTACTGATTTCTTATCTTTTTGCATGTTTGTCACACTGTAATGTTTCAGATCGTCAAACAAATTTATATATTAGTCAAAGATAACACAAGTAAACACATCATGCAGTTTTTAAATGAAGGTTTTTATTATTAAGGGAAAACAAAATCCAAAACTATAGAGCCCTGTGTGAACAAGTGTTTGCCCCCCTGTCAAAACACTGGTTTATCGCACCTGAGTTCAATTTCTCTTGCCACACCTGTTCGCAATCAAGAAATCACTTAAATAGGACCTGCCTGACAAAGTGAAGTAGACCAAAAGATCCTCAAAAGCTAGACATCATGCCGAGATCCAAAGAAATTCAAAAACAAATGAGAAAGAGAATAATGGAGCTCTATCAGTCCGGAAAAGGTTATAAAGCCATTTCTAAAGCTTTGGGACGGCAGCGAACCACAGTGAGAGCCATTATCCACAAATGGCGAAAACATGGAACAGTGGAGAACCTTCCCAGGAGTGGCCGGCCGACCAAAATTACCCCAAGAGCACAGCGACAACTCATCCAAGAGGTCACAAAAGACCCCACAACAACATCCAAAGAACTGCAGGCCTCACTTGCCTCAGTTAAGGTGAGTGTTCATGACTCCACCATAAGAAAGAGACTGGGCAAAAATGGTTTGCATGGCAGAGTTCCAAGACAAAAACCACTGCTGAGCTGGAAGGTGTGTGTCCCATTATGTGTGGCGTAAAAGTAACACCGCATTTCAGAAAAAGAACATCATACCAACAGTGAAATATGGTGGTGGTAGTGTGATGGTCTGGGGCTGTTTTGCTGCTTCAGGCCCTGGAAGACTTGCTGTGATAAATGGAACCCTGAATTCTGCTGTGTACCAAAATATCCTGAAGGAGAATGTCCGGCCATCCGTTTGTGACCTCAAGCTGAAGCGAACTTGGGTTCTGCAGCAGGACAATGATCCAAAGCACACCAGCAAGTCCACTTCTGAATGGCTGAAGAAAAACAAAATGAAGACTTTGGAGTGGCCTAGTCAAAGTCCTGACCTGAATCCAATTGAGATGCTGTGGCATGACCTTAAAAAGGCAGTTCATGCCCGAAAACCTTCCAATGTGGCTGACTTACAACAATTCTGCCAAGATGAGTGGGCCAAAATTCCTCCACAGCGCTGTAAAAGACTCATGGCAAGTTATCGAAAACGCTTGATTGCAGTTGTTGCTGCTAAGGGTGGCCCAACCAGTTCTTAGGTTTAGGGGGCAAACACTTGTTCACACAGGGCTCTATAGTTTTGGATTTTGTTTTCCCTTAATAATAAAAACCTTCATTTAAAAACTGCATGATGTGTTTACTTGTGTTATCTTTGACTAATATATAAATTTGTTTGACGATCTGAAACATTACAGTGTGACAAACATGCAAAAAGATAAGAAATCAGTAAGGGGGCAAACACTTTTTCACACCACTGTAAACTGGAGAAGCCAGGAATCAAACCACCAACCCACTGCTTAGGAGACAACCTGCTCTACTTCCTTAGCAACAGCTGCCATACTGCTATGCAGTCATTCGCATTTTTGAGACAAAGTGACTAATGAATTTAAACATGTATATAAATGCTGTTTATTTCAGTACTTAAATGTTAAAATTATGCTAGTAGGTTGCCTAACTGAAGACATCGTGTTTGCTCTGTGTGTGTGTGTGTGCGTGTGTGTGCGTGTGCGTGTGTGTGTGTGTGGCTATGTCTGTTCACAGCCCACAGTGCTATAACGGGCACGTCAGCATGTCTGGGGTTAGGAACACTGGCCTTCTTCACAAAAATTGGCAAGATGGAGGGATGGAAGATAGCTGGACCACCCGAACTATGAAGAGGAAGATTATAAGATTAATTGTTGTGTATAAAGAGTTCATTTAATAAACATCTTGTGAAAATGACCCACAACTGAGTTGGTGCCCTTAACTTCATCTCAGACTGTTTCAGTAGTGTCTTAGTTTTGCATGCTATTTGGGGTGCCATAGTTTGTGAAACTCAAAATGTTTTGGTGAATTAAACTATTTCCACTCAGGTGGTTCTGGACTAGGACTATAGTGGTATTTTGCACTGGTTAGATTTCCCAAGCAGGGAAAATAAGCACAGCTACAACCTTCTGTGTTCAGAAGCTCTCTCTCTCTCTCTCTCTCTCTCTCTCTA